TGGATTTTATTTCAGATTAGAATACCAATGTCTTTTACAACTGTGAAAGAGATGTTCCTCATAACAAACTGTAAGAAATGACAAAGAATCATTAGTATCTCCGACTTGTCTGATAATGAATATAATAATAATTAGCTAATAAATATTCCAAACTATTTGGGGTGTTATATTTACCACCAAATACATATATCTGGAACTCATCAAAATGCCAAACACATCCCCTCCATTTCACTTAACATTCTTGAATATAAGACATGAAACTAGGGGAAGGTTGTACCTGCTTCTGAGTGGAGTCTTTAATTCATAAGAGTGTTTCTCCATTTGGAAATGCAAGTTTCTGTCCACAGGCCAAGGGAAGTACCCAAGCTACAATCTACATAAGTTTAGTATCACACTTTTAAACCACTGAAAGCGAGATGGGTTGCATATATTGATGTCAGTAGTCATCGATGCCTTGTTGTGAAAGGCGATTTTCTCCGGAGTGCGGTGTACTCCGGTATTATTGACCCCATGAAGAGGACACGTTAGGTATATAAAAACAGGACATAAAGGGGAATATTCCAAGGGAATATCTTTCTGTATTCAAAGTATTTTTAGTTTGAATTCTTTGTCTTATTGGTGAAAACGCTCGCTGAAAATTTATTATGGAAGTTCAAAACGATTATAAAAATGAAAGCTTTGACATCAAGTTCTCAAAATGTGACTTAGGCACGTAGGTCCAACTTCATCACCTCGCTGTGTAAATGCAATTATCACGTTCTTTGATGATAAAGATGAAAAACAAGCAATAACACTGCCGCGTTGGCTCTCAGTGTGTCCCCGGGGAGGCAGTAACTGACGGTGGATAAACTCACCCTAGGATGAATTTCCATAACTTTTCCTGTATTCCTAGAGGGGTAGAAGTCCCCAGAAAAAGTCGGTAAATTGTCAATGACAACTGACGACTTAGATGCATACTTTTACAACGAATTAAAAAAATAAAATTGCAAGAAGAATGCGCGTACGAAAAAATAATTGCGTATATAAAGTATTCCGCGAGTAGAATGACTTCCAATTCGAGCACAATTTGATGCAGAAAGTAGTATTTACTGCAGAATTACACATTTTTAGACGACATGATCACATCACATTTCTTACTGCATCCAGCTGGGTTTCATTTTGGTAGAAAAGCCACATACATTAGGCCTATGTCGTCGAGGAAGTGATCCAATCGTGTGTTGGCGTGAATCCAAATGAAATGGACGCATGCGTAGGCCTACAATGTTTTTCTCCGTATGAAATCCCCTGATTACGAGGCCGCTGAAATCAAAGACTGGCTCTCATACTTACTCTTCATCTTTAGGAGGAATAAAAATGCATGATGGTTGGCGAGCAACATTAAATCCTATATCAGTCACTGAGCATATAGGCCTATGAGATATCACTACGTGTATTTAAGTGGGAAATAGCTTTCTTTCTACAGTGGTATCTTGCTGAGGTGTATGCGCAGAATCTAAGAGCGTCAACAACCAGCAATTTGTAATCAATCAATCAAGTCTGTCAAAGTTCTGTAGCTAATTAACTTACCAAAATATTTCCACAAGTTGTAATAAAGACGAACATTTTTGTTATTTCAGGTATTCAAGAATGCCAGGTGAAATAATATAAGCGCTGGCAGCTGACGAGTTTCAAACTATTACAGTTTTATGGAGTGTCTCCTGACACAGAATGCTGTCCTCGATTTACAATTTGCACATGCACACAAAACGGGATAATGGGTGCGTTTTTATGAAAACTGAGCACGCAGCTGCACGGAACACACAAAATGGTGATTTCCTGACAAGTTAGGATTAGTTATCAGTTAAAGATTAACAATAATTGATAAACTTCTTCCCTCTATGTTTATCATTCTTAATCAACCTATTTGTTAACATTTTGGACTAACTATAGATTGTATGGGCAAACCAAAAGGTTAATATTAACTGAAATGTTCTGAAGCTAGCGTCAAAAACAAACAAAATGTAGGAATTTTGTTGGCGATCGCAGCACAATATCGATTAGGTGTCACAGAAAACAAACAAGGACAAGAAAAAACAGTATAATTTATCAAATTCTGCGACAGTTGCCCTGCGGCACAGATGTTTCGACCGATTTTCCTCTTATTTCCAAAGACTTATGCTAAAAAAGATGATTTTTCATACTATAAGCCTAAGGAAACGTAACGACATAAAATAAGTACATCTGCCGCCTCGGTATTTTAAAATATATAAAAGAATTGCATTGACAGAAGTGTCGCAACAAGCTTTAGGAGGAAAAGGAGGAGAGAGAGAGAGAGAGAGAGAGAGAGAGAGAGAGAGAGAGAGAGAGAGAGAGAGAGAGAGAGAGATGTAGATGCATGTATATGAGTTTGTTTCTGNGAGAGAGAGAGAGAGAGAGAGAGAGAGAAATGTAGATGCATGTATATGAGTTTGTTTTTGCATTCAATTGGGGACCCTCAACAATAGAGGACACTAAGGTCCCCGATTGACAGAGGGTCTTTGATTGACAACTGTGTACAAAACATATGGGTGGTCTTCTAAAAAAGTACAAACAAAAGAGGAACAATAGGGGGTCCCCGGTTGCAGGCAAATACACACTTGAGTGCGTGTGTACGTAAATAGCTAAAGTTTCATGTCGGGATCTAAAATTATGCTAAACCTGCTTTTTCAAATGTAAAAATAACTGAAGCCTATGCAGAGAAATTTATATGATGGTTTTGGAGCTAGCATTCCTATGACCCTTGATGACAGCGCCCTCTGTATGTATTGGGATGAACATCGTCGGTGTATTTCGTGTTTGCATCCTCTAAGTTCATCTATAATCTGATACACCATTCTAGACAAAGTTAGCTTTCGGTATGCAACATTACACAATACACTGTTCAATACTGGGTAAATCCAGTGTACAGCCCTGGGATCTGCAAAAAAAATCCCTCGATCCGAAGAATTCCTCAAATTCCGCAAAGTCAGGAAGGCGGTTTTTGTACATGTGTGTTGAAACAAAACGCCAAGAGAAGACAATTAAACTTTTATAATTTCAGTTCAAATGTGTATTATCTTGTTACGACCTCCTGGCTTATCCCTTTGTTTCACGCCATTTATATGATTGGAATTGGGCTACTATAAAGCCAAGTGTTCACATCTATAGTTGTGCAAGGTACAGGTGTAAGAGAACTCATTAATAAATTCCCATCTAAAACATCAATGACGACTTCCAGTTTATGTAGAAACTACGAATACTACAATTAGCTATGCAAGAAAAGGTGAAGAAACCCACGAGCTGAATGCTATTCCGCATTAGCGACTGAAAATAAAGCTCTTCTTTCGTATTCACTTATTTCTGCTTGACAAGATTAAGTCAGTCTGATTCAGCGCTGGCTGGGATTTTACGGTTAATTTCTGGTTCAATTTAGTTTGCCCTGTGTATTTTTGTCATCAAATTGACGACAAACTCACGCATACACAGATTAGTCAGCTTGAGAGAGCACAGCCCGTAATGGCTTGACGAAGCAGTGATGTTGATGCTACATTGGTCTTCCTTGGTTTAGAGTCGGCTTCAAAAATATAAAGCTGCCTACTTACAGTACAGTGTGACCGTTTTTCGATTTCTAAGAAGCCACAAAGTGTCAGTCTTACAGTATTTGCAAAAATGAAATGCTCTAAAAACTATATAAAACTGTAAAGAAAGAACATCATTGAGAGTAAAATATGAGGGATTTACAAGACTTCAATATTTGAGGTACTATTCTTGTTTTTTTTCATCCCCTAAAATCTAAGAGCTATAAATAGCGTAAAGAGAAATTTATAAGAATTTGTCTTCACTGACATGAGGCCCCTCCAGGCCTACACACACATTACCAGTGCAGTATATAAAGATATACTGAGGGCTAAAGGAAATATATCTAAGATTTCAGCCAAATAAATCAGGAAGTGACAACTGATATACGAGATAATTACCAAAAAGCAAAATCAGATGTCCAGTGTTGTGTAGGTTGGACAGTGACACCTGACAAACACAGCACTGAAGCTATTACGTTTGCTGATAAATATGGCCCTGGCTGTCAGGTTAAATCAACATTGACCAAGGAACAGTAACTTTTGAATTGTAGCCTAATATAAACAAAGACATATGACATGCTGTACAGGCATGTTTACACCTCATTACACATGCCTGGGGTTAATCCTTTTTGAAGCTATTAAAATTTCTAACCTTCTGACAAATTTTTAATTTATCGGGGCAGACCATAATCGGGTTATGAAGCTTTAGTGTCTGTGTCGTGGTGCACTTCTTTTCGGCGTCAAGGCTGTGTGCGCCACGACCACTACATGCTAAAGTTCTACAGAGCAGACACGCCCCCTACGCCTACATGTGGTACACTGCGTGCAAGATGTCGTCGCACGTGGCTACATATCGCCGCCATGTTTGTTGTAAGGTCGTGACCTGAAAACGTTCAGGTTGGGCAGACTAAAAACGAAGTTGACTGAGAGGCGTAAAGTTTCTCAAACGCTATTTTTGAGGTGAAATGGTATTAACTTCAAAAGGAGTGAAAGCAGAGATTTTAGGAACATTTTTGCCACTCGGCATATCTGCTTATCGAGCTCAGTTTTTAGTTTGAGGCTCAGGCTTTTAATTAAACATTTATTTCAGTTTAGCCTATCAATGACTAAGAAAAGAGATTTACCTTCTTCTTTCTCTGCTTGCAGCGCTAAAGTTTCTCCTGTCATTCTTTGTAGGCCTACATCAGTTCCGTCTAGTGTAACATTCCGTGAAGCGGTGGAAGGACTTCAGTAAGTAAGAAACAAGGTAAAATAAGTTTTTTCTTCACTTGAGTCTCAACTTGAAGTCAAAGTCCAACACGACACCGACACGATGAGCTCCCAGCAGGCAACTTTTTCCCCGCAAGGCAGTAGAGGGCGCCTTACTCTGCAAACAGCCAAAATTTATTTTAGACTAGCTTCAGTCTTAATATTAAGTCACGAGACTAAGTCTAGAGATCGGAGTCCCTTTTCTCCGACGAACTACCTATATGAATACGACAACACATGAAAATGGGTTGTGGAGACATCATCCTTCATTGTGTGTAAACACAAAGGTTTGGAATTTGAAGATATCTATGGAACCAAGCACATTACCTAATGCAGGACGTGTAACAAATTTATGCTCATTGTATTTATATTTAATATTAACTATTTTAAGAGTTATGCAAGCTCATCTTGGTTCAACGATTCATTACCTCTGTCCAGCTCTACTGTTGTTTGTCTGCTGTACATTACGATGAAATTTGCGATCTTAGGAGCAACAGGTAAGACTGGTACACAGCTGGTGCTGCAAGCACTAGACAAGGGTCATGAAGTAGTTGCTGTCTGCAGAACGCCATCGAAAGTGACTATTCAACATGAGAGTTTGCAGGTAGGTGTGAACACAGTGCTTGCAAGTTGCATGGTGCGTGCGTGTTGTACCCTAGGGAATGTGTCCTTTCTTTATAGTTGTACAGAATGTGTTGATGTGACCATGTGACGGTGACCCACCCGTGGCATGAATGCTTGGGGTTACCTTGACCCCTTGAAAGCTTTTTGCTCATTACAATTTGTAACTACTGCAGGGTATGGACAGGAATACCTGTCCCTGGAAATCAATTTACTTTTCATGTTTGCACAAACTCTAGACTATGATACTGATCTAAAAATTCCAATTGCTTTTTCTAACATTTCGAAGAATTTGCTTCAAAATCAAATTCTCCCCACTAATTTTTATAGTTTAGGACATGTCATGTCAATCATTTTCTGATCATTATAGGATGGATCTGTTGGAAAAAGTGTATCCATTGTGGAATTTTTCCCCTAAAGTGGTAGATCTAGGTGCTTGATCTTTGCACAGTCTGTCAATTTTTATTGCTTAATTTGCCATAATGCCAATTGTACCACCATCAGCCAATCGTCTTTCAAATTAATGAATATGGAAGATTGTTTTGAGTGAGGGAAGTTACATGCACATGTAAGTCAGAGATTTCATGCAGGTTTGACTGGTAGGTCAATTTCCAAGTGAGCGTAAATTTTGGCTCAGACCAAATTAAAGAAATTCTTTTTATGCTGCCCACCCTATCTGGAATTTCTGCTGAGAAAAACATGTGTTGCTTTATTGTGTACAAAATTTCTCCCTGTAAATATTATTTGGTGAGTATAGATTGATACAAACATATTGTGTAAAGACCTATAGACCAAGCTCTAGGCAACAGACCCCACTGTAACCTAGGCAAGAATTCCTTGTTTGAAAGAAAGGGGGCATTGAATAAATTTACGACTGAGCAAATGATGTTTAGTTATTTACTCAATGTGGTTTTACAGGTACAGTTAAACTTTGTTAATATGAACTGTGTTTCTACTACATTCTGCTTAAATACGTGGTCCCAATCCCAATCCTTTGTTCTTCATTGTTTTAATTCCTAATAATTCAAGGTTCCTGTTTTAACAAGGTAATCTGTAAAGTCCAAGAGACCTCTTTTCAGTGAGGTTTGACTATACATGTATATGGTCTGATTTTTAAGACGTAAATTCATGAATACGTCACGTTAGAGCAACAAGGTCATATCTCGTGTACAACACAAATGAGAGATTTGACCTTGTTGCACTGACAGGACAAATATCCCAACATTCCAAACCATGTACAAACTTGTTAGAGCAACAAGGTCATATCTCGTGTACAACACAAATGAGAGACTTGACCTTGTTGCACTGACACGACAAATATCCCAACATTCCAAACCATGTACAAACTTGTTAGAGCAACAAGGTTGTATCTCGTGTACAAAACAAATGAGAGATTTGACCTTGTTGCACTGACGTGATGAATATCCCAACATTCCAAACCATTGCCCAAGGTTGATCTTCATAACTTCTTGGTTAATCATCATCTGCTTTTACTTGTAATTGATCTTTTATATCCAGGTTGTTGAGGGTGATGTCATGTCCTCTGAATCTATGATTCCCATCTTTAATGGTTGCGATGCTGTCTTCTCCTGTCTGGGATCAGATGTTGGTCTCCGCAAACAGACGACAATTTACTCAGATTCTATGAAAGCCATCATTGCAGCTATGCACAAAGCTGAAGTCAAGCGTCTGATCTGTATGACATCATGGTTCACAAATTGTGAGTTCCCAACAGAGAAATCTTGCTGGAGTTTTGGGCTATGGCGTTATCTTTGGACTTGATTGTTGATGTTAAACAGGAAACAAGTTGTCTGTAGATTTTATACTGTTTTTAAATTAATCCAAGGAAAATGCCAAAAAATAACTTTAAAATATATCATAATGAATAAAAAAAGGTTGTTTACGGAATTTGGCCATTGGTCACCTAGTTTTCACTAGTGGTAATTTTCTCTGAAATTACAAATTCCTTCTTCCACGATCTTGGTTCAGTTATTGTCAAAGTTGGTCAATATCTCTGGACCTATAGTGTCATAAAATGTGTTCATAGAATTTGGCTGCTAGTCACCTAGTAGTCAGCATTGTTCAGTTTCTTGGAAATAACAAATTGCTTCTCCCACAGTCTTGGTCCAACCACTGTCAAAATTTGTCATCTACAGCTTTGGAACAAGCTCAATGTACATACATTTTGTATTGTGCATACAGCAACGCACAGGCTAACCGGTCACTGCCCACATGTGTTGCCCATACATGTACAAGTAGTATATTACTATTAATTAATAGACTGATTCAGGGACCCTATTACTGTGGTGTTCCTGACAATCAAAAGTGCAGCGACAGAAAACTTGAATCTGGTCCGTACATCTAATATGTAAAGAATTCTGTGCAAAGCCCGTTTTCCAGACTATACACAATTTGCATAGGCCTCTGCAATACAGACTGACATGTCCATCCAGCTAGCTAGCCACCTTTACCTTGATGGAACGATTGACTTAGCAAACCTTGTCATTTCTGCTAGTAGGCCCCTATGACATAAAGACCTCAGCAGCCACCAGTTAATGCACAAAAATCTCTGCTCTTATATTCTTTGGCACATTGAAGCCAGACTTGCCAGTAGTCACCTTGTGTGCACCTTCAACATTTCCAAAAGCTGTTCATGGCTGATATATCTGTGCTTCCTGAAGTACATTAGCTCTAGTTCATTATTGTACCTGCTATAGCATAACATAACAATTGTTTTTTAATTTACAATTTTCAGACAGCAAAAGTGACGGGGGTCCATTCTTTACAGAATGGATCATGAAACCATTAGCCCGTCTCTTCATTGGAAGAATCTTGTCCAACATGGCAGTAATGGAGAATTACCTCATCAGTGAATGTCAAGACATTAACTTCACAATAGTCAGGCCACCGGGTCTCCAAGACACACCTGTCTCTGGTAAGACTGAGAATTGTCCTAAGGTTCTGATCTTAACCCTCATGCTGTCTAGGCATTTTTTTGGACAACTTGATGTATGGGACGTCTGTTTGACAGCATGACATCCGATGCTTACGTTTGCTACTGTTGGTGGCATATTGCTGTTGACATGCAGCACTTGATGATATGACCTTAATATATTTATGGTATTGTATTGTGCCAAAAACTCATGTCATTTTGGATTCATGTTTGATACCAAAATGACTATGCACAAACAATGTGATGATGAGTAATGCCCGAGGACATCAGGTTAATTAAATTCACAGACCTGCCAACCTAGCCGTACTCCTTCCTTAGGTCAGGCATTACCACACAATAGATTAAAAGGTATTTAAATGAGCCTTCACTTTATTTAAAATTTAATCTATTGTGTGGTAATACCTGACCTCAGGCATGTTGGCAGGTCTGAATTCATAAGCATATCAGAAATTCCAGGAATGGATGATCAGTATTTTAGCCACTAACTGCAGTCCTGTAACAAGACAAACTCCATTTTATTTTATTTTTCAATTAAAAATTACTCAATGTAAGATGACCTTCACTGATCTTAATTTCTTCCTTGGTCCATCTGCAACGGAACACAGTTTACGCTTTTACATAATGGATGGGACATTTTGTTTTTTTGCCGAAACAGGTAAGGACTTCATGACCGAAGAACTACAATATGTCAAACATGGTGGAGGGCAAATATCTCGGGCTGATGTCGCAAGATTTATGCTGAATGCATTGGGCACTTCTGATTATGATAAAAAAGCCATAGCTATTGCTATCAAGCCTTAGTATCCATGAGGTTGTTAAAACTGATGCACTCAACTTTTTACCAGTCGTTACTTAAAAGAAAAACGGTTTTAAATTTTGAAGAGCTTAATTTATTGGAATATTTTAATTGGATGTAAACTGAGGAAATATTTGAAGAAGGGTTCAATTATACATCCGGATTGTTTGTATTAATGGTAATTGTTGCATGGATGACATGTAAATACTTTATGGTACTTCTAAACACTCAAGAAAAATCAGGGTCAGTATCATTGAACTGTTCCCTTGTTAAAAGCTCAGGCCCACCTCCATTTGAACACTCCTCCATTAGGACATCGCTGACTGTGCCCTGTTAGCGTGCTCAGGCCCACCTCCATTTGGGCAT